ACCTAATATTTGGATACTTGATAATTTGTTTTATTATGTAATTGACAAAATGTGATGTATATTGACATTAGTTCAATCACATATTTATGCTGTCTGGAAATGCGTGGTTTTAGTTCTTCGGGAGAAATAATTTTTCAAGTGTTCACTCCCTTGTAAAACCCTACTGTGAGAGCTTAAACATCTAAATAAATAATGAAATGCATTTCTAAAAAAAATAAAAGCAAATGGCTGAATATACATAGAATATACAATACGAGTTCTTAAAAAAACTAAAACTATTGGATTGTATATCAGAGTATAGGTAGAGTTAAAGTGTATAGTCATAGAAAAATATCTGAAATGACGCATATCAGTTGTTAATTGTGGCCCATGCTAAAAATCAGATGATGGTAAAGAATCCTGCAATTAACATATTCTTTTTTTGAGGGAATAAGAAAAGGTTTTACAAAAATCACAACCAACATATTCTTGTGTCAGCGTATTCCTATTCTCTCTCTCTCTCTCCCTCTCTTTCTTCAGTGATCAAGTATTAATTTTGTCATTGAACAAAGAAAGAATTAAGAATTAAGAAATGGAGATAAATTTCTTATTCTTGAAAATTCAATATAATAACGACATAAATGAAACCACAACAAAATTTTTTAATTTTCAAAATGACTCTAAAATTTATCAGAAATAATACAGGAGAATAGCAAGAAAAATATTATAAATAAGAGGGATGGCTGTACGCTAGGCCGTGCTACTGCTAAAGAATAAAACAATTAAAAAGTAACAGTTATTAAAAGCATGATACTGATTCAAGAATAAGCAAATGAGTGGGAAGAATAAACCAAAGTCCAGAAAAACTGGAGTATATACAAAAATTTTATATGGAATTTTCACTTTTTTATATATTTCTGTAACATCCAATTTTCTAAAATAGTATTCAGAAAAAGACACTTGATTAGTTATACTTTAACTAATCAAGTTAGAGAACTTCTGGCAGAAAATAGACCTTCGCTTACTCTTAGTTGTTTGACCATTTGATCAGACTTTACTCAGCTAGGAGTTCTTTTTAGCAAACCTAGTTCCAGCTAGAGACAGCATTTTGTGCTGCAGTCATTAATAGGAACTGTGTGGTTAAAGATTACCAATAAAATGTTCAACAGCGGAATTTTTATCAGATAACTACAAATGTTCTATACTGTTAAAATTACACCATTTACATGCTTAAGTGAGAATGTTACAACTATAATTGTATGGGTCTGCTATTCTGATTGGACCATATCTGAGAAACATTCAAGAAAGGGCCAAAATCCCATTAATAAAAAGTCAGTGAGAAATAAAGAAATGAACCAGTCATCTGTAATCAGCTGATGGCAACTTGTTTCTTCAAGCCAGGTACAGCTGTTTAACCCTGCCAAGCAGTTCTTATACTCCAGGTACAAAGCTTTGCCACCAGGCAGAAACTGGAGAGCAGCCTAGGCCTGAGTCAGAAGAAGGCAACCCTCCTTGCCCTGAGGGACGCCTGTACCACAGCAGGGATGGTCCTGATGTCAAGCTGCCTCTGCAGGCCATCGAAACCAGTTAGTCTTGATTTTTCTTTTGCCTAAGAAGGAAGTCTCATGATTTCTGTGTACTTTATCCCACTAATCTCTTTGTGAATTATGGTATCATAGAAACATCTATAAGATCAAAATATGTATGCATCAGATGAAATATGATATTTGCACAGTAAAAATCAACAAGGAAATAAAAGTGATAATATTGGACTACTGACATGGTTTTTAACAGATATGAGGGCAAAGCTTTAATCTTAATTCATTTATGAGAAAAACATGAGACACCAATTAATAGATGGGCACAGAGTGTGAAGAAATGACGGATCCAACAATAAATAATGCAGGCGAACACAGGAAAATATTTGTTCTCACTTGTGAATTAAGAATATTGAATAAATATTAGAATCCAAGATCTACCATGGATGAAGGTGGGGGTAGGGGCATCTGGTGAATCCTCTTTGTTTTGTATTGGAACTCCAATGGGCTATACCTTGGAGAAAGGTGAACCAGAATCAGATAAGCACTCCCAGGCATGGCCAGTAGGCTTCACTTGAAGTGATAATTGAAGCGAATTGAATTCACCACCTCTTGAAGTGAACTGAAGTGATCTACATTGACAGTGCACTCAGTGCCTAGCCAACTCAAACATAAGTCATCTCTGGTGGAAGTTATCCCAGAACTCAGATTATTTTCACAAACTATTTAACAACAACAATGTGTGGCACATGTGGCGATACATTTTTTTTTAAATGAGGAAATTAAAACAATAAAAAAGTAGGGCTTTCGATATTGGAATTATCAGACACCTACTGTAAAATAAGTATCCTTGCTCTCTTAAAGAACTGTAAGTTATGTTGAGAATTTTAACACAGGATTGGACACTATAACAAGAACTAGATTGAAATTTTAGAAATAAAAATAATTATTAAAAACTCAGTGGATGAGAATTTAACAGATAATTAGACAAGACTGGAAGGCAGGTCAGAAGATAACAGCCAGAATGAAAGGTAGAGAAACAAGATTTTAAATTATTGAAAAGAAGTAAGGACATAGAGGATGCAGTGAGTATCGGAGCATTGGGGAAGAGGAAGGGGTAGAGTAATATTTGAAGAAAAAAATGGTTGAAAACTTTCAAAACTAATGAAAGACTTAAACCCACACTTTCAAGAAGCTTTATGAGCCACAAGGAGGAAAATTTAAAAATTAACACATACCAAAGGACAACATAGTAAAAATGCTGGAAATTAAAGACAAGGGACAGTCTTAAAAGCAGCCAGAGAAGAAAAGAGAATTCTCTTCAAAAGAAAATGCTAGCTAACTTTCCAACAAAATATATGGGAAGCCAGAAATATTGAAATATCTTCTATACCAGCAAAAATATACAAGAATGAAGGTGCAATAAAGGCATTTTCAGACAAACAACATTTGAGGGAATTTGTTGCCAGCATATTTCTACTAAAGTAACTACTAAAGGCAAACTGTCTTAAGATGAAAGAAGAAAGCAAGAAAATAATCATTATTACTGATGACTACTGAAAATAGTTCTGTTCTTTGGGAGGGTGTTAAAAATGATCAACTGATGATGTTGAATATGATAGAATCGCCACTTCTTTCGGAGGTCAAGACATTTGTATTCCAGCACCTAGTAGGGTTATCACGTAGTAGGATTATCAAATATTCATTAAATGAAATGTTATGAATAAAACGTCTCACACAATCAAAAAGCACTGGCTTTAGGCTTAAATAGAGCTGAATTCCAATCTGCTCTATCTAATGCATTCCTCAGGGAACTTAACTTCTTCCATTTCTGCAACTGTAGAGAGGGCATAATGAGAGGGCTTTCTTCAAAAGGTGCTGCTGTGAGCACTACTGAGACAATCTAAAATAGGAATTATACATAACAAATAAGAGCTCCAGAGTGTAGCAAAGGAATTTACCGTCTACTGTTTATTGAGTTTATTGCATGGCCTTTGATCATTTACAGCCTTGGGTGGGTAGGGTATGTCGGGGTACCTTATCCTCTGTACAACATGTACTTCATTTTAATGCTTATGAAATATAATCTCGAGGAAACATTTTTGCATTTTCGTGAGATGACTTCCTTGTCCGTGTTAAATACTTGTCAGCTCTAGTTTTGAAAAATACCAAGAAAAGAAACTTTGGGGACAAAAAGGCACAAATCGTATTTCTGATCTTTCTTCGTAGTTTATAAACTTTAAAGTAGACCTCCAACTCTCCTTTCCCCCCGTTAATTATTATGCTATCCTATCTTAGGACAAAATCAAAACTACCCATTTCAAAATCAGATATTTTTTTAATGAAAAAGAAAGCTTAAAAGGCAAAGAAAAGTTTAAAAGAAGTTTCTTCTGAGGGAGGAACTTTAGGTCCCCCAAAGTCACACTGGCCAGCACCCTTAAGATGTAGAGATATAAGGTTAGCAAAGAACATTAATTAAAACCCAGACCTTTTGTGCATGCTTTCAGCTGTCCAGTTGGGCATGAAAAGTCTGGTTTGCAGAGGAGTTTGTAGCTTTAAATTCAATGGCACCTGTTTGGAGGGTGGTGCCAGGACTTCCCGGTCACACTATAAGGAAGGTGGGGTCGGGGAATATCCGGGACGGAGACCGCCGGAAAGAAAGCTTTCCCCGGGGACATTCGATGGATGCAAAGGCTCCCTCCCTTCCCCTCGCTCCGCCACATCCTGTGTGCAAAGTATGTTTAATATTCATAAAACATCCTCTCACCAGCATGTTTTTACATTTTCACGAGATAACTTTCTAGTCGTTGCTAAATGATGGTTCTAGTTTTGAAAAATACAAAGAAAATACTTTGGAGGTGGAAAAAAGAGACACGAAATGTATTTCTGATCCTTCTTAGTTTTTAAACATTAAGGTAAACCTCCAAGTTTCCTTTCCCGCGTTAATTATTATGCTTACCCTTAGAGGCTCCTTAGTGCCACGTAACAGACCCTCCGCCTTCAGGCTGTGCTTGTGGATCTGAACATCGTCTTTTCCAAAGTGCCCGACAGTTCGGGTGTTTTCTGAAGCAGCCTCAGCTCTCCGACAATCCAGAGCCCGCGGCCCCACCGCGGGGAACCCATGTTCCCGAGGCGCTCGGTCCCGGGCGCGGGAAAGAGGCCCCTAACCTGAGTCAGAGCCTCCGGGTTCCAAGCCGCGAGACCCGAACCCTGCGCTCCCAAGCCCGCATCCCACATTCCCTGCCAGGAAAGGCAACTTCCACATAGAATTTTCCAACTGGAAAACCAGCGTTTTCTGGGGGAACAGCAACATCCGCATGCGTCGTCCCCTTCCTGCTGTCCCCACCTACATGGGGGACGCGCTGGACTTTATTTAGAGAGCAACCGTTGCCCCCCTCGGCCCTGGCGTTGGTGGCTCTCAGATGGCGCGCAGGGCTGGCCAAGTTTGACTCCCCACTTTTCTCTGCTCTCGGCGACACTCACCTGTACGAAGTCATCCTGAATCCCGCCGCCTCGAAAGGACAGAACGGTTGGAACCGCGTTGGGAAATCCCTCTCCGACTGCCCCGCCCTAGTACCTACCCTGGCAAATTATCTGGGAGATGGCAGATGAAGGAAGACGCGAGAGGTCCCGGAATCTCACGTCACCACTAACCCCCGCCCAGCTCCTGGGTGAGCCCAGCTTGGCGCTGTACTTCCGACCCAAGACGTTGTTTCGGAATGACCGAGCCTCGCGGCGAACAGATCCTCAAATGACCCTCGCCCTGCAGAGCTGGAGAAGGTGACAGTAATGACCACGGCCCCTGCTCATGATACTAGATACGGGCAGACTCTAAACGCTTTGTCTACGTTATGGCTTTTATTCGTTACAACAGCCCTAAGAGGTGAGTAGTTATTAGCCCTACTCTTAGAACGGGGAAACTAAGGCAAAGTGAGGGTAATCAGCTAGCAAGTGGAGGAGCTGAGAGTCCAACCGCGTCTGGATGAGGCGAAAGCCCGAGTATTTTCTGCCCCTCGGACGTGGAGTACCCAAGCCCGCCAGACTCCACCGCGTCAGTGGTCGGAGGAGGACCGCGTGGATTCAGCGGTTTATCCAAACCTCCAAATGGCGAGGGACAGGGAAAGGCTGGACAAGGGCACGGCCGCGTGCCTGCTCTCGGACCAGGGCGTGCAGCTGCACCCGCGCTCCCCTTGTCCCTCCCGGGTCATCCTCCCCGAGCTGCGGGAGCCATCTTCGCAGCGCGTTTGAACCCCGGTCTAGCCCCGCCCGAGGGCTGCAGTCCGGCTCCCGCTCTGCCCTTGAGACCTCCCAGCCTCTACCTAGGACCTCTTCTTCTAAGTGGGTAACCGGACTTCTCGCTTCACCTTCAAGATCAACGAAATCCCTGCGCCCACCTCTAGTGTCCCTACCACCATGCTTACCATACTATGCTAATATGGCCCTTCCCTTACCTTTTAACCAGCCTCATGACCTCGCCCGCCCGTCACACTTGGGTTCGCCAAGTTCAGCCTTTGCGCCGCCTCCACCCTCCACCACTTACTCCACTGGAATTTTCTGGCAAAAGATGCCCGGAGGAAAGCCAAGTGGGTCGAATCCCTCTAAAAGACCTGCAAAGCCACTTAATGCTTTTGTACCTGGAAGAGTAAGGTGAATTTCTACTAAAATTAGCATTAGTAGGACCATTTTCATAAGCCAGGAGGGGTGCTGGGAGCTTTCCTGTGGCTCATCTCAGGGGCGATTGTATTGTATTTTCCTATGACCTAGCCTAAGTCGCAAACAACATTTTTAAAAAGGAGACAAAACGATGGCATGCAAAATGACCAGTGTTCCTATGTGTGTACAGTATGTACTTAATAATACCCCGCTGTGTCCCAAAAACGATTTAAGAAAGAGATACATAAAATACAAGGTCATGTAAATAAAAGAGAAAAATGAATCGAACCAAGTAAGTCTGCAGAGAGTAGAAAGAAATGCCAGAGGAATCTACAACCTTGGGGTAGGTGAGTCCCAAATGCAGCTCCCAGCCTCTTGGCAGCCAGCAAAAAGCAAACCCTGCTAGAGGGGAGCTCTGAAGTAGCAATTGCTGATAACTATTTTCTAGAAACAGCTCTGAGAGGGATATTATGCTTTCCTGGTCAGCAAAACATTGTTCTTATCGTGTCCATATAGTAAAAAGATATCGTTGCTTACAAAGGGTTTTCACAGATGTGACGACCCAGCTTATGAGAGATTGCATGACTTGTTCCGATTTTTGTAGCCAGCGGAGCTACAACTTGCACCCAGGAGTTGTGCTCTTAAGGCCAGTCAGTGCTGGTTCTACTGTACACTCCCCTGCCTCACCAGCTCTATCAAAATGGGAAAACTCTTCCCGTGACTTTGAAGTGGGGATAGGGTTAATTCCCCACTTCCCCATAACTTCTACCTCATGGACGTGTTGTGACCCGTGATTTCAGTTCAGAGATGAATTATTTGTGATTTCTAGTGTCTCTGCCAGCTAGAGGGTGATTGTCAGGAAGGGAAAGTTAGCTAAGTGAGGATGTGCTTGCTTTTTTTCCGTTCGATTAACTAGGAGCTCGAACACCAGTTCCTTATGGCAAACTACGCTATAGTTCCTGGGCGTCAAGACCCAGAGACAAGCAGGTTGTTTGCTGCTGCCTTGAGAGTTAGAGAAGAAATGGCCCCTCGAAGACTACCTGGAGCCCTGAGGGGAGCTGGGCCTGGGCACATCACACTCCAAGTGCTGTCTAGGGTCAGCCAGAGGTAGCCTCTCCTAGTGGGTGACCTCAAGCTTTTTCACTGTGGCAGGTTACTATTTTACCACTGTAATAAAACCTCCACTTCTCCCGCCTGCAGACCCATTTCTGGCTTACTTTAACAAATTGGCTAGTTCTTATGTAACTTGAATTTCCTCTACACTTAATCATTTAGGCCTCTCCCAGCTGGCACTGGTGTCACTGAACCAAAGGCCAAATTTTTTTATCTTTGACAATTGGGCTCTAGTCTACTTGTCCCTTGTGGAAGAAGCTTCAAGTAACCCATAGAAACTCAGCTGCATATCCTGAGCCATATCTGAGTCTTCCAAAAGCTCATGATCTTGGAGACTGGTTAAGCCAGCTTTGCATCCTGATCTAATGAAAACAGCACACTTGGCCAAGAGGAAGGGCACTCAGGAGAGAAAGAATTCAATTTATTTCTGACATCCTACTAAAGTGCCTGATAGCCACTTCTGGCTCCAAGGAAATGCGGCTATGTCCTATTCATTTTTCTACCCCCAGAGCTGTGCACAGGAATGCTCAGAGCAGGCATAATCATTGACTAAGAGAATGATTTCCTTGAGTGGTGAGATTGTATTCTTACCCACATAGTCACTAGCCTTTCCTCCTCCCCAAATCTAGTCCTTGCTGATGTTCAATAAATGTATGTTGAGAAAAATAAGAAGATGGGGGTTCAACAGTTCAGAGGACTGAAGTAGGAACAAAAATCCCTGGTATTGGTTTGCAAACTGGCGCTGTACCTGGAGGGCAAAAAAAGACTGAAGAAAGAGGCAGATTGGTAGATGGCAGCTTTAATAAACAAGGGAACTTACATGTGAGGCTTGTCTTGGGTGTTTGCAAGATGAGTAGATCTTTTTATCCACCCACCAGAATCTTAAAGTTTGTATAGAGGCTTTAATTGGGATCTGTCGCTTATACTGTCCAGATTGTCTCCACAGCACATTACTCTCTTAAGGCTGCAACCTTGGAACAGCTCCCACTGTGGGAATGGTGTAGTAGAAGATACTTTCCAAAGACAGGGCAGGGATAAGGAGCCCGGGTTCAGCTCACGGGTCAACCAGCAGTCAAATCATTTTGACTACCTCTTTCAACATCTGGCTTGCCATAAATTCAAGGAAAAAGGAAATGTTGTCATTTGCTCAAGAATAAGAATTACACTATGGATGTGTGAGGTTAGGCTCTTGAGGAGAAGGCCTAAGCAGGATCTCAGTGACCCACGAAGATTGTTCAAGTTCTCACATGCTAGTCTCTCTCCTGAAAGACTCTTCCCCATCCTCATATTTCTTTTTCTGGCTTTTATTTCCAATCTCAGGTTAAATATCATTTTTTTTCAAAGAGGCCTTTTTCAGAACAGGTCAAATTCCTCTTTTGGTGTCCTAGAACTTTCTAGTCACAGTCTTGGTTGGAGTTTGTAATCGTATATTAATGTGCGCACGCACGCGTGTTTGCTGCCTATTTCCCTTGTTCCTTGAAAAGCAGTACCACTTCTGTTTGCTTTCACTCTACGCCTAGCCTAGAGGCTGGCTGATAGTTGATATCTGCTGGAGAAAGGAATGAGTGAATTTTATTTTTATAACATTTGATGCTCAGAACAATCTTGATCCTTCAGTGTTGCATTTGTCTCATTTTCACATGAAGAAAGTGAAACTCAGCGACCTGTGAGAGGACACAGAGAGATTGGAGCCAGGTCTGCTGGATTTAAAAGCCCTGCAGTTTCCCTCTACCAGGCTTACAGTGTTCTGTCTGGGTGTAGGGAGGGTCCAGGTTAGTGAGTGTAAGAGAGAAGCAGAAGAAACGGAAAGTCAGGGCCAAGTCTGGAACAATGAAGCAAGGATAGAAGTCAAGGGTGCTGCCCTGCTGGCTTCAGCCTGACCCTGGCAGTCAAGAAGTGTGTCATTGATGTGAGCAAAAGCAAAAGGAGCACAAACTTGAAAGCCTGCAAATTTCTTCTCGGTTGCCTTCTGAATAGTCTGGATGCCTTCTAGAGGCAGTAGAGTACACAAGTTAAAAGATGAACTCCAGAGCCTGGCTCTGCTCCTGCCCCTTACCTGCTGTATTGACCATGGGCAAGTTATTTAACATCTCTACGCCTCAGTATCCTCAGTCGTAAAAATGTGGATAATAATAGCACCTACCTCATGAGGTTGTTTTAAGAATTAAGTGAGTTAATACATGTATAGGTGCACTCAAGTCCTTCAAACACAAAGTATTACTAGGAAATAATACTTCCGTAGTAAGTGTTAGCAATTATTATTTGAAGGGTAGCTTTTGTACATTGAAAAATGTTTGTGATCACTAGGGTTTAAGTTAATATTAAATATAATGAGTCACAAGCATAAGCTCTATATTTAATAAACAGACTTATTATTTGTGGTGGAAGAAATTATTGGTTCCAATACTTCACTCCCCTGTAATAGGGTTATGCATCACTCTTTTGCCGTGGCCTCAGGATGGGCCATGCCCTACATCTTTGGGCCTAGCTGTAACATTTACTTTAGCCAAACGGATGTTAGCAGAGGCTAAATATGTTTATCTGGGTTGGCTTTTTCTCCTGAGTTCCAGTGATCTGTCATTAGAAGAACATGCCCCAGGTAGCTGTTGCCCCATTCAGCCTTGGCTCCAGAAGAAAACCCAGAAAGCAGATCAAAATCAAACCTATGACCTAGAGCCAAGCCCAGTTGACTAGCAGTCTATAGCAGAGTCACCCAGTTGCCAAACTTA